GTTTTTGTTGTCCACTGAAGACATTTGGGTTTAAGATCAAAAGATAAGCATGAGACAAGAGTTCTGAATGTCAGCTTTTATTTCCTGGTATTTACATGTAGATGTTTTAAACAACTCAGAACACACGACCCTTTGTTTGAACCAAGCTTGTCTCATGCCCATTTTCTGATCTTCAACCAAAATGTCTTCAATTTACAACAAAAACAAGGGAATTTGACTTGTTGTTTCAGTACTTTTGAAGGGGACTGTATACACAAAGTCACTTATGGAAAGTATTATGTTGGCCATTTTGAAAAATAGCCACCATCTTGAATTTGTAGAATGCCAGTCAAGTAGAACTGCCCAGAAACCCATTGGGAACAATCATACCAAAGTTGCATCACATTTTGCATGATTGTTGTGCAAATTTGGTTTAAGCTGCTCCACTACATGCAGCTTCATAAATATACAGGAGGTGACTGATAATTGTTCCACTCTGGAACTGGTATCCATAGCCCTCTTGGCAATGATCGGGCTGAGGGGGTTCAGGTCTATAGAGAACAGGACTGGGGACAGAGCATCATCTTGGTATACGACACATTTGATGCTGATGCTTTGGTCTCTAAAGCTGTCTTGCACATTCCATTTAGTTCTTGATGAAGGTTCTTAGTGTCCTGTTGATATTGTATAGTTTCAGTCCCTCCAGTATCCATGTGTGGCATCGAGTCAGAGGCTTTCCTGTAGTTGATCGAGGCAGTGCACAGGTTTGTGTGTCTGGTCTTACATTCTCAAGCTATGGTTCTGAAGACCAGAATCTGTGGTTCTTGATGCCCCTGGTGTTGGTGCTAATTCCTTTATGTTCCTCCCTCAGGTGTTGTTCCATGTGCCTATTCATCTTACCCACTATGACGCCTGACAGGAGCTTTCATGTTGAACAGAGGCATATTGTTGGATGGAACAGCCACTTTCTGGGGGCTCTTCATTCCTGAAACTCTGTCTTGGATGTCTGGCACTGTGATGAACACTGGTTCTTGTTCTAGGAGATAGCTATCTTCTCTAGTCTCAGCTCTGGGTGGATCTACTCATGTTTTCCCCGTCTCTGAATGGTGTGGTGACAAACACCCTGTTTATTCTCCTGGCTTTTGCTTCTTGAGTATATCTTCTAAGTTGAACAGCTGGAGCTTTGAGATGCTGTTTGGCAGTTTCTACAGCCTAGGGTGTGGTCGACACGTGGTGCTTTCATTGTGGTCAGTGAAAGTGGGAGACTCCACCTAGGGTGGTGAAGATAGTATACTATGGGACTTTCCGATCAAAACTGATGAACAGGTGATGGCTGACCAACCAGATATTGTGGTTGACAAGCAACAAATGAAGGCAATGGTGACAGATGTAGAGATCATAACTGACTATAACATCGGGAAGAAGGAACACAAGAAGCTGGAGAAATACCAAGAGCTGAAATAGGAAATGCAGAAGTTATGGAGAGTCAAACATCAGTAGTCCCAGTGATCACTCGAGCACTTGTTGCTGTGATCCCCAAACTAGGAGAGTGACCTCAACAGATCCCAGGAACAACCACAGAGCTCAGTCCAGGAGAGCTCAGTCCCAGGAACAGATAAGATACTAAACAGAATCCTGAAAGTCCCAGGCCTCTGGTAGAGGACCTGAGTCTGAAGTAAAGGGGAAGAGAGGGATTTTTAAAATAAAACACATTAACTTGAACTTACATAATGCATAAGTTAGCCACTCAGGCTGGTCATAGTGTACTATGGCCACACACAGCGTATTGAGGCCAACCAGACACAGTACAGTCCAGTAGAAGGTCTGAGACTTGACCAGGTGGCGGATGGTGAAGCGAATCCTTTTTTCTTTTCTTCTTAAGTAAGATGAGCTCTCGTTCTTGCTCTTCACACTGGCCCGTGCAAACGGGGACCCTGGGGGGCCAGTTGGCAGGAAAAAAAACAGCAATAAGGTGACCAAGTCTAAAACTGAGGTAACCACTTTATATTTAGCAAAACTGTCATTAAAATAATTCATTTGTCAGAACTGAAATGGGATTTCACTGACACAAAATGTAGAGAGCACCATAAAACTAATGGACTAAATGTGAAATAATGTTCCATATCTTCAACAGGGTTTCTGAGATGTGGTCCAAGTGCAGGTTTGCCTCTTTCAGACTGAATTCCACAGTGTTCACACAGTAACTCTACGCTGTGCAGCTGTTTAACTTGTATCGAACTAAACCAGGAGAAACTGACATTAGGCCCGAGTGTCAAACAGGACAAAACTAAAAGAAGACAGAAGAAAAATTAATGGATGAGATTTTTATACTGGTGAGAGCGTAATCCTTTCCTGCTCTGTTTCAGATGCAGACCTCTGACTCAGGCTATCTCCTTAACAGTGACTTTTTTAACTTTTATTTTGTTACCCCCTATGTCAGGGCTTTCTGCTTCAACCAGGGGCTTCATGTACAAAGTTCTCTTTACTGAAACATGGCGTACGGTGAAATCCAGAAAATGGCGTACGCACAAAAAAATCCAGATGTATCAAACTGTGTGTACGCCAGAATCCATACACATTTCTTTAATACATCCCAATCAACATGGAAATGAGCACACGTGAGACACCTCCCCTGACACGCATTCATTTACATGTTAAATAGAAGCAAATTGTGTGTGAGGGACATGTTTGTGTGATCCCGGCACGATCAGAAATTATTTCTAGATTCAAAAAAATTATGAATTAAATAGAGAGTGAGAAAATTTTCTAAATAAGTAGTGGACTGTAAAAAATGTGTTTGTGATGTGCAAAAGACAAGTGATTGTGTGTGTGGGTGTGTGTGTGCATGAAGCTGCTGTTACTGAGGGCGCAGCCATCCATTCTGAGTCAGGAAATATTTTACAGCTTCACACATGAGTTTATGAACGTAATTACTGTAAACATAGAGAAACACAGAGGAACTCAGATGTTTGGAAGAACATAGATTTCAATTTATTAAATAGCTGATATGAAGAAACGAGTCGCAGTGCCTCATCCGAGAGTTTTCTCTGCGGTGTTGTAGTTTACAGTATAGTATAGAGTGTTTTTTTGTTTTTTGTAATTTACTTTTATTTGAACATATTCTGGGGATAAAAAGGGACAGAATATGTATTTAGAAATTTATGTCTGGGTGGCTCAGCGGCTGTGGCAGAGTGGTTAGGGGAGTCGTCCTGGGACCGGAAGGTCACCGGTTCAATCCCCTGTCTAGCTGTCTCAGTTGTTGTGTCCTTGGGCAAGATACTTTCACCCCTAATGCCTCTGATGTGTGTCCCATCAGTGTATGAATGTGATTGTACATGTTAGCTTTGTAGAGACTTAGTAGAGTGCTGTGTGAATGGGTAAATGAGGACACAGATTGTAGTATAAAGTGCTTCGAGTGTCCTGGATGGATAGAAAAGCGCTATATAAGTACAGTCCATTTACACTCTGTGTATAAATACCCTCTCTGTGTATTAGACTATTTATTATATCTTCCAGTAAGGCTGAATCTGTTGTTAAAGGTATTTTGGCACAGCTTTGCATGTCCTTTATCTACAGTAACTGCATACCAGTGGTGGGATGTAATAAAATACAAGTACTTTCTTATTGTACTTAAGTACATTTTTCATGCATCTGTACTTTACTTAAGTAGATTTAACCATGGGTACACTCGAATTTTACTCCACTACATTTTACCTTAAATATCTGTACTTTCTACCCCACTACATTTCTGTAATGAGTTACATTACAAGTTACATTCACATCACGTTACAGTTATTTTTTATGTTTTTTTTAGTTTGACACTAATTAATGGCGAGAGGGGAATTGCTGTAATTGGTCCACTGAACCACTGCAAAGAAGGAAAATACGTTAGATCCTCCTTCAAGAAGAGCGGAGCGATTCTGCGTGACCTGCTGGAGCATCACCAGCACTAACACACCCACAAGAGATTCCACCACAGAGAGTCGGCCAGAGGAAATGTGACACCCATGGCCTCAAAAAATGACTCGTGGAGATATGACTGAGGAGGTTAGTGGTAAATTTACAGCTTCTGTAGCTGTTGTCATAATCTGTGGTGATGCACAGAACCACAAGTCCAAATGTGAACAGCGTCACAGAGGTGAAACACAAAAACATGAAGTATCTGCAACATTGTTCACTAAAATGGCACACCATTGATGTATCAAAAATATACATACAGTAGGCACACAACATGATACATAT